AGGGGTCCTCCAGCTCTGTGACCTTGAACTGAGGGGAAGTATGTGTTTTGATTACGGCCAGAAAAGTGTGCTCTTGGAGGGAACGATGTGCTTTAAATAGCGCTCTTTCGACATGAGTTCCCTGAGCCCCAGCTCCTGCCGCCCTGCCAAGCCTCCCTGCTGGCGGGGAGAGCACAGTTCCGCACATCCTAGGCCTGGAGAGAGAGAAAAAATACTCCCCAAGCTCCTCAGGGTGTCCCCCAAATCCATGCATTGAACCCGACAGCATGGCCTCTGTCCGACCTGCAGGCCCAGGTAGGCAAGGGGCACACAGTGGGGCTCCAAGGCGTCATAGTCAAGTCCGTCTTCACTCCTGGGCCCTTTGGCGAACTGGCAAGAGGGAGGGGTGCCACCCTACAGCCCCCCAATCAGCTCCTAACAGCCCCTTGCGATGCGCCTCCCTCGAAAGCCTCCCCTCGCGGTCCCAGCCCAGGACCCTTTCCCTCTCCTCACTGCCTCTCTCCTCGCCCTCCCCAATCGATTCTTTTCTCTTTCCGATAGCATGAGAGCCCATGAAACACGTTCAGTAAGCTCTGGGTATGTATGTGTTTGGATGTACATAGTTGGTGTCTGACACCCAACCACTAACCTTGAACTCCCCTGAGGGAGCAGGGAAACTGGTAAGATTCAAACCCACGCGTGTTTGCCCCCCGAGACCGCTCAATGGGCGACACCAGGGCAGCCGTGAGGACTCAGCCTGCTGGTGACCAAGCCATCTTGTCTTTCATAAGCAGCATTTGGTCCCGTGCTTAACCAATACCCACACAGCGGCGGCTCAGCTTCTCTCAGTCATTGGTAGAACTGGGAGATAGACAACCACCGGAACCCAATTGGCATTTATAGAACATCCCACCCAGCAATGCAGCCCCAGAATGCAAGTGGGACAGTCGCCAGGAGAGGCGTATCTGGGTCACAGGGAGCCTTCACTAATGTAAGAGTTAAAGCAGGCCAGGTGTGCTCTCGCCACAGTGGAAGGAAACTGGAAATCAATAAGGAAAATAAAGGGGCAATTGTCAGCATATTTGGGGGGAAGGTAAGTGGTGCTTGGGGAGAGATTATAGCATTAAATGCTCATGTCAGAAAAGAAGGAAGGTCTCGCCCTAACAGTTTGGCTCAGTGGATAGAGCGTCGGCCTGCAGACTGAAAGGTCCCAGGTTTGATTCCAGTCAAGGGCATGCGCCTTGGTTGTGGGAACATTCCCAGTAGGAGGTGTGCAGGAGGCAGCTGATCGATGTTTCTCTCTCATCGATGCTTCTAACTCTCTATCTCTCTCCCTTTCTCTCTGTAAAAAATCAATAAAATAAATTTTTTTAAAAAGAAGAAGGAAGGTCTCAAATCAGTAATCTAGACTTCCACTTTAAGAAACTAGAAAAATCCGGCCATAATGGCTCAGCAGTCTGACCTATGAACCAGGAGGTCATGGTTTGATTCCCAGTCAGGGCACATGCCCAAGAGGCGGGCTCAATCCCCAGTGTGAGATGTGCAGGAAGCAGTCCATCAGTCATTCTCTCTCATCATTGATTTTCTTTCTCTCCCTTTCCCTTCCTCTCTGAAATCAATAATATACTCTAAGAAACCAGGAAAAGAAGGTCAAAATAAGGTTAAACCATAAGGAAGAAAATAAAGAATTAAAACTGATTAAGTTGAAATAAAAAGAAAAAACTGTAGAGAAAAACAGTGAAACCAAAGCTTGGTTCTTTGAAAAGATCAGTAAAATGAATAAACTTCTAGCAAGACTTGCAAAGCAAAAAAAGAGAGAGAGATTACCAACAGCAGGGATAGAAAAGGGGGTATCATTACAGACCACACAGACAATGAAGGGATGAGAAGGGAATAGTCGGAAAACTCTGTGCACATAAACCCAGTCATTTGGATGGAACGGACAAATTCCTCCACAGCTACCAGGTACCACAAGTCCCTGAGGTGAAATAGGTAACCGGACTCACCCTACAGAGACATGGAATCTGTGGTTTGCCTAGATCACTGTCCGGTGAATTATACTAAATATTTAAAGAGGGACAACATTCTGCCTGGTAAAAGAAAAGGGAACACTTTATACTCATTTGATGAGACCAGCATTCATTACCAGACTCACACACACAATGAAAGGGAACCACAGCCCTGGCAGTGTTGCCCAGTGGTTGAGCATCATCCCATGCGCCAAGATTGCTGGTTGATTCCCAGTCAGGGCACATGCCCAGATTGGGGGCTGCATTCCCAATTAGGGGGCATGCAGGAGGCAGCTGGCACATGTTAATGTGGGCCTTCAGAATCCCCAAAAGTTAACGTGGGTCTCCCACGATATTGCAAAGACGTCGCCTGGCCTCTGGGACAACCAGCAGCCCAGGGACGACAGCAGGACCCGCCCTCCGTGGGGCGACAGCGGTAACAACGGTACCAACGTGACTCCTCCCTGCCCTTTCTCACACTCCAAACAAAGGTATTTTACTAAGGTGACCAGATCGTCCAGGTGTTGGGAGGACAGTCCTGATTTCTAACAATTTTTCCCGCGTCCTGCAGCGTCTTAAAATAAGTCCTGATTTTTGAAAAGATTGGAAACAAGATTCTTTCCAAAAATTGGGACTTTTTTAAAATGCCGTGGGACGCGGGAAATATTGTTAGAAATCAGGACTGTCCCGCCAACACCTGGACGATCTGGTCACCTGTCACCTCTGAGGTCTGCCTGTGCCGGGAAAGGGCTCTGTGACTAGGGCAGGCGTTGGGAGAGATCACGGGAGTTCTGGTCTCCCTGCCCGAGGCTGCTGGCAAGGTCCTGGGTCTAATGTCAGGCCCAGCGGCCAGCACCCTCATCGTGATTTCTCCGGGGAAAACCCAGCGGGCCTGGACTCCTGGGGCCTCACACCTTATCCAGAGCCACCCCCCCGTGCCTCCTCCTTCTCCCCCAGGAGTCCTTCCGCCTGGGCCCTCGCCCTGAGCCCTGGGGGAGGGCAGAGGGGAAGGTGAGAGTGAGAAGAGGTGACTGGGGCTCCCTCAGTGGATCAGGTAGCGTATAAATTTGGCTGTTTTTGCACAGAGACCCCGGCTGGCTCAACCATGTTAGAGGCGTGTTTCTCTCCCTCCTGACCGTACCAGGGTTAACGGTCCAGGGCTGGGGGCTGAGGATACAGAAGGGCGTGTTCCGTAGTCCTCGGTCCCCTCAGCAGGAAGGGGAAGAAGGGAAGTTGTGCTCATTGCTCTCATCCCATTGGCCAGATCTGAGTCACGTGGCCTCGCTCGGCTACAAGGGAGGCTGGGAAATGTAGTCCTTTATAACATGCAGCCCTGTGAGCAGCTAAAAATAGGTCAAGAGATGTAGTCTGGTAGAAGGCTTTACCATATCTCTGTGTGTTCTCTTTTCCTAAATTCGGGCGGCCTTCAAAGCCCCTTTCATGCCACCCTGAGGCTCCTCCGGACCCGCGACCCTGGAGGATATAAAGTTTCTGTTCCTGGATGAGGCCTGGGCACTGTCATGGGGGCAGGGCAGGCTGCAGGGGCCACAGGAAGACCCCAGTGCAGAGGTCCACGTGGCGTTCCCCACTCCCCCTTTCCTTCTGTGTGCGGTGGTGCCCCAAGCCGAGCTCTGGGGGTAACATTTAGGGAGACACTTTCTAGCATGCAGATGTGCCTTTGGGGCCTAGGGGACAGAGTGAAAGGCCCACAGTGGGGAGAAATGGAGCCGCCTGGGGGTCACCCATGCCGTCATACCCAGGGAAAGGAGGCCAGTCCAAGCCATCCCAGCAAAGGGGTGGCTGCCTGAGTTGGGGTCTGGGCCTTCACTGGGCCTTACCTCACAGTAAGCCCCAGGGCAGGCTGGACAGGGGTTGATCCAGACTGATCCAGAGCAAGAGATTATGCTGTGCCCACAGGGGGCGCTGGACCTTGTCCCCTGGACGCCTCCCCAGGCTGCCTGGAAAAGACCGAGTCACCTTCAGCGACACAAACGCCCACTCTGGGCTAGCCCGGTGGTCAGCAAACCGAGGCTCGCAAGCCCCATGCGGCTCTTTGGCCCCTTGAGTGTTCTAACGCCACTTCATCAAAATAGACTCACCCAGGCGGAAAACCGACTTCCGCGCATGGGCCACGAAGTTTCCATCGCACTGTACGTGCACGCCCACACGTGGTTTTTTGTGGAAGAGCCACACTCAAGGGCCAAAGAGCCACATGTGGCTCACGAGCCACAGTTTGCCGACCACTGGCTAGCCTGACGCGGGGCCATTGCTCCAGCATCCCTCGCATCGGCTCCTCGAGCCAGATCTGGGCCTTCACAGGAGAAGAGTCCCGAAAACTCACTTAGTTTCACCCCTTTGGCAGAATGGGGTTGTGTGTGCGTGTAAGTCACCTCCAATCTCCACCTCAGGGACAGCCCTCAGTGTTTGACATGCCCTGATCAGGAACCTCTCTGCGGAAGGGGCCTCATTAGCATGGTAAACATATGCTGTTATTAAAAGCCATACTAGCATTTGCTCATTAGCAAAAGGATGTTAAGAGATCCTGACACCCCCTGCCCCTCACTCCTGGGACGGACAGGGCCAGGGGGATGACTGTGTGGGTCCCTGTTTGCTAGTCAGCGTCCGGACACTTGGCAGAATAAGACCTGCTTCCGCTGTACTATTCCGTCTGGGGGTAAGGTAGTTGAGGGGCCATGGAGCCGCGACCTGTTCTGACTGGGGGTGCCCCATTTCTATGAGAAAACCTGTCAGTGGGAACACATGCCCCATGCCAGGTGGGGGAGCCCGGCTGGGAACCAGTCTGAGTCTGAACCTGTATCCCTGCCCACTGCTCTGCTCCGCTCCGCCTCCGAGAGGCCCTCCTGGCCGCGCCCGGCCGGCCGTGCTGCCCGGGGTTCCCCTCCACAGCACTTCCCCCAGCGAGAGGAAGGGTGTCGCAGGAGGAAGAAGAGACCTAAAAGGAAACGAAAAGGAACAGAAACAGACGAAGCAACAGGTCCACACGGAGGCGAGCACAGCAGGAAGCGAGTTTAATTGGCGAGACACGGACGACATACAGAGAAGCAGGAGGCGGCCTGGCGAGCCCCGTGGCGCCCGCCCTCCCGGGGCCTCCCTGCCCTCCCGAGACGCGGGCAGCGGAGCCAGGCAGGCAGCACCCCGGGAGGCCGAGGGCTGGGGGCACAGAGAGAAACACCGCAGCGAGAGAACTACCTTTGTGTGTGGGGGGAAGAGTTGCCCAAATCCCTTTCCTAAGCTCAGGCTCCCGTGGGGGTGCCGGGACCGCCCGAGCCCGGCACCGGCCGCTCCCACCTCCACCTGGGGGACGGAGAAACTGAGTCCCACTGGACCGAAACGACTCGCTCAGCGTCCGGGGCAGGTCGCTCTCCAGCAAGTACCTGGGGGGATGACCTTGGACAGCCCAGGCGGGGTGGTGGAGGGCGGGGCGGGCGGGCTGCAGCCTGCATCTGTCCCATCCTCAGGAGTAGACAGAGCCTGGGCCCGGATGCCAAGACAGAGATGGGACCAGCTGTTTATTCAACAAAAGCCTTTTATTCATTCAAAAATCGACCATTGGGTTTATTCTGCAGAGATTTTAAAAAAAAGGGGGTGGGGGATCTCATCACAGTGCCCTGACACTAACTCACTCATCCCCGGGGGACGCCTGGCAGAGGGGCATCTGGGAAACACACCGTCAATAACGGGGGGCTGGAGGCCAGGGCTGAGGGGAGGCCACAGCCCCTGACGCGCCTCCCACCCACCCTCCGGCATCACCCTTCTAGCCAGTTGGGGGGCCCCCCACATGCCTTTGCAGCTCACGGCCACCAGGGGGCGCTCCCACATTCCCTTCTTGGATCCCTTAGACATGGAAGCTGGGGTGTCATGCATGAGGCTTTCTTTCTCCAGGGAGAGGCTGCCTCTGCCCAGGAAACTCGCTCCCCACCCCCACCCCCAATCTCTCCTCCCACCCAGCACCCCACACACAAAGAAGAGACACAGTCCCAGAAAGCTCAGGTGTGTCTGTCGTCTGTGGAGCTGGCTGTCAAACAAAAGCATCTCGGGGGAAGAGAGGGGTGTCGTCTGGTTAAACGGGAAACCCATGGCCTTCTCCCAAGTACCATCCACACGAAGGGGGCGCAGAGGCTGCGGGCACGAGCTGGACCCCGCCCCTGGGGCCCCAGGGAGCAACATCGCACAGGGTCCCAGGCCTGGGGCTGGGGGGGGGGGAGCGAGGCGTTCCAAGGTGCCACCGCCAGAGGCCTGGTGAGATGAGGGGGCAGAACTGTCCCTGCCCGGCAACCCTGGGCACAGACGCCAGTGTCTCTCGCGCTGCCGAGAACAAGGGGGCCCTCAGGGTGCCCTCGGGCAGTCTGAGCTGTCTCGGGGCACAAACCTACAGCCTGGGCCCAGGTCCCACTCGCTCAGGCCAGAAGGCATAGCCATGGCCCCAAACCGACGGGAGCGGAGGTCCCGCACACAGAGGCTCACAAATGCCTGGCCCTGGGCCTCGGCCCGAGGGGTCCCCACGCCGAGTCCCAGAGGACGTCCAGCCAGGCCTTTCCCGGTGCCTCCAGTCAGGCTGGGCGACAGGCACACCCTTCCCGCCCGATCCGAGCAGCAGCCGAGGCTCCGGCAGAGGCGGGAGAGCCACCGGACCCAGGAGGGCCCCCTCTCTCTTCCTCTCCCGCCCCCAGGGGCCAAGTTCGTCTCCTGCCCTGGGGTCCCAGGTCAGGGCCAGCCAAGGGGACTGCGGGGCTGGGAGGCGGGGCCTGGGCCCCCTGGGGCAGCGGCCGGAGCAGACAGGTGGCCACAGGGGCCTCGGAGAGCCGGGCCTTCAGTCACCTGTGACAATGGCACTGCCGCTCCCGTCCCTGCGGGGCCTGGGGCTGACAGTGGAGGCGGCGTGGAGACGGAGGACAATCCTGTGGCTCCAGGGCTGGGCTGAGCCGGAGGTGGCGGGCGGCTGGCTTTGCAGAGCAGCAGCGGGAACTCCATCAGGTCCCCAACCCCACCCCTCCTCTGGGCGAGGACCAGCTCTGGGCCAGAGACAGCTCCAGAGCCTCAGCGGCCCCTCCACACCAGGCTGCCATGCCGGAGACCTGTGCCCAGACAAGAGAGCCACGGCCGCCCCGTCTGCTGGGGCCGGCGCGCACAGACACACGCCAGCGCATCGGCACGCACCGCCAACTCCCCTGGGATCACCGTGTCGGCAGGGAGGACCTTCCACAGTACTCACCAGGCCTCGGGGGGCGGCTGGGGCAAGATAGGGCCAGGGGGGCCCCGTCTCAGAGCCGGAGCCAGCCTGCTCTCCGGGCCTCCGTCCAAGGTCGTCTGACTTCCCTGCGGCAGTTCCGGGGCCGCCCTTCCGAGGGGCAGACGGAGCTAAAACAATTCCTACGAGAGCAGGCGGGCACAGCCCCCAGGAGCAGCCACACCCGGACGGGGCGACCCGCACCCTTCTCTCCCCTCGGATCCGGCGCGGGCCGGGCGGCGGGCGGGCAGGAGAGCAGGAGGAGACGCCCGCCTGGGGGAGGACGAGCCCCACTCTGCTCACCTGCGTGCCACGCCCTCCGTCTTCCCCTCCTCCCCGAAGCCGCCCGCTCCTGGCTGCCACAGACACCGCAGCAAGAGCCGAGAGCCCGAAAGATGCCCCGTCTGTCCTCGGAGAGACGCTCAGGGCCCAGGGAGGACACGGGACCAGCGGAGAGTGGACGGGGACGGAGAAAAGGGGTGCCAGGCGGGGCATTCGGGGAGGGACCAGGGCGGAGCCAGTTAAGAAGCCGCCTCCCCCCTCTCCAAACAGCAAGCACAGTCTCTGAAAATAAAACGTTTTTGGCGTCTCGGCCGCTGCTGGCAGGTGGGCGAGGGCTGCACATGTAAACGAGGGGGCGGAGGGGGGGTACCCCCGCATTCCTGGGAGCTTCGGACGCAGAGGCAGCAGCAGCAGGTAACAACCAATAAATAACAGGCGGTTATAGACGATATAAAAAGCGACCTCACTTCCCCGGGTCACAAAGTCACCATCGTCCGGTCAGTCCCCCGGCCACACGGGCGGCTGGCTGCCCGAGGGCGGGGCCGCAGGGGGCCCGGCCCGGGGGGGGGGGGGCCTTCGTGGCTCCCTGGTGGCCAGCGGACAAGGCAGAGTTCTCCACGGCCCCCGAGGCCCTCTCCCGGCCGGTCAGCCCGAATCTCCTAGAACAGAAGGTAGGTGTGTGTGGTTTGTTTTCTTCTTTTCCAACGTCTGTTTGGAATAAAAACAAAAGCAGACGCGCGGGAGCAGGGGACGGAGCAGCTGCGTGTCCCGGGCTCCGCGGACGCCGGAGGCTCTGCCGGCGGCTCCCGTGGCTCCGGACAAGCAGAGGCGGCGGCGGGCGGAGCCGTGGCTTCGGGCGGCGGCGGGGCAGCAGGCGGGGAGGGGCGGCTGGGGCGGGAGCCGGGCCTCGCTGTCAGGGTAGCCCCGTGGAGGACGGCAGGTGGACACAGGAGGGCGGCTCAGGGCACGGGAGGAGGCGGTGGTTCCCGGCATCTGGAAGACACAGGAGGGGAGGCGGCTCAGAGCGACTGCGGGGCGCGCAGCGCTGGCGGGGGAGTCTGAGAGAGGGTCCGAGTGGAGTCAGAGGCCCAGCAACATGCACAGCCCCTGACCCACCCACTGGGGGCGCGTTGCATTTACTCTTCAGAAATGTTTCCTACAGCATCATCTGTAACAGCAAGATTATAAGGAAGGGAGGGAGGGAGAGAGGGAGGGAGGGAAGGAGGAGGGAGGGAAGGAGGGAGAGGAGGGAGGGAGGGAGGGAGAAAGGAAGCCCAGTGTCCACACTCAGGGCACTGGCTGGATGGAAGGACGTGGCCACAGGATGAACCAGTTTGCAACCGTTAAGAACAAGGTGTGGATGGCTGAGAAGCGCATGAGAAGGTGAGAATCGGTGATGGGGAAACGCAAATGGAAACCACGAGACACACCACGTCGCACCCACTAGGATGACTTATTTTTTTTTAATTAAAAAACTAAAAAAAAAAAGAAAAGAAAAAAAAGAAGTGGTGCTGGCAAGGGTGTGGAGAAAGGAGAACCCGTGTCCATTGCTGCTGGGAGTATAAAAGCGGCAGCTTCTGTGGACAGCGTGGTGCCCGCTGCGGAAGGTAAACTCGGAGTTCCCACAGGACCCAGCAATTCCACCCCAGGCATCTACCCCCCAGAAATGTAGACACAGAGACCCTGCCCCCCAGTGTTCACAGCAGCCTCGTGCACAACGCCACCAGGTGGAGAGGCCCAGGGTCCCTCAGGGATGACGGACACACACGTGGTCCATCCACCCAGGGGACCGTCCCTCGGCCCAGGAAAGGAGTGAAGAACAGACGGGAGGGTCTGGGTGAAGGCGGGAGGCCTAATATCGCAGAAGAACCTTGGAAAAAACCACACTGAGGGACAGGAGCCGGACCCACAGCCCATGTGACGTGGGAGTCCGTATTTATAAAACTCGACAGGCAGGTCTCCGCGCAGACAGCAGAGGCGTGGTGGCCAGGGGCCGGGGGGCGGGGAGGGGGTGTGTGTGTGTGGGGGGGAGCAGCGGGGAGGCGTTATTTTGGGGTGACGCAAACATTGTAGAACGAGATAGGAGGGGTAGCTGCACAGAACTGTGACTGCACTTCATGCCGCTGATCGTTCACATTAAAACGGTTAATTTTCTGTCCCGTGAGTTTCACCTCCATCAATTAAAAGAGAGAGAGAGAGAGAGAGAGAGAGAGAGAGGGAGAGAGAGAGAGAGAAGGCAGCCCGGGGAACAGCCTGTGACTGTCTGCGCTGCCCACGCCCTTCCCGTCACCCGCTCCACAGCCCGGCCTCCACATCCCCCCCCCCCCCCCCGCCCCCGCCGCCCGGACCGAGTCCACGTCTGACTCCATGGGGCCCGTCTCCCTCCCCATCGGCGGGAGAGGGTCTGAACCGTGGTCAGGCCAGGCAGGGGCTGTGTGTGTGTGTGTGTGTGTGTGTGTGCAGGAGGGGGGCCTGGGCGAGTCGGAAGGCCCCACGGGGCCAGCGTTTGGACAACAGGAGACAGGACAGGAGCACCATTCTCTCTACCACTGGGCGCGAACGCTTCCATCACCGAAAACTTCCGTCATCCACCCCAAATCCTCACCAACCGAAGGTCCCACCACGGAAACTGGTTCAATGAGGCCCCGCCCCTCTGACGGAATACTATGCAGCCATGAAAAAGGCTGGTCTCGGTCAGCATTTGCTGGTGTAGAACACTGAGTAGGACAGTGCGTTCCGGGAATGAGGCGACGCCAGGGATCTGAGAAGGCAAATCGATCACACAGATGGTGGAACGCAACATGGACGCGGTGACTATGGGGCAGGCTCGGGGAGAGCCGCGGGGAAGAGGAGGGCGGTGGGGAGAGCTGGCGGGAGCTGGGTCTGGTCGCTCGGAAAAGCCCACCCTGGAGATAAAGCTGCACCTTCTTGGCGGACATGTTGCTGGTGAGGATACAACACGTGTTTACATGAACATAAACTGTGCACCTATGGATGAGGACAATGCGGGGTGGGGAAAGGGCAGAGGGTGGGGTGGGAACCTGGTGGAGGGGGGGAATGAGGAACTTTTGTAATAATGTGAACAATAAAGATTGATTTAAAAAAATAAAATAAAATTGAGGGGGGGAAAAAAACAAGCACGTGTTTACACACCCCGTGTGAAGGGGTGCCTGTGGACACGCAGGATGTGAGTGTCAGCCACACAGGGCGAAACAGTTTTTAAAACTCTCTTTTCTCAGCGCTGTCTCCAAAAGAAAAAAAGGAAAAATGTTTTCTATAAATTGTTCATTAAAAAAAAAAAAAAAAAAAAAAAAAACCTGAACAACATATGGTCCTGAACTCATCGTCGCTGCAGGAAACACACACACATTTTCACAGAAGCTGTGAGAAAACAGAGTGCGATTAAATACATTAATGACGCAGCTGGCTTTTTCCTGGGGACAGGATGGGCCTCCCAGACAGAGCATTCGCACATCTTCATGCGTTCTGGAAGCTTCTGCCCATCACGCTGCACCCTTGAGACTGACAGCCAGCACGTGCACACGCACACACACACACACACGCATACGCACACGCACAGCATGTGTACGCGTATTCGCGGCCGGACAGGACCTCGGGGCCATCCACTCCCTCCCCGCCTGCATGGGGACGGCCAGGGAAGGCAGAGCCGACGGAGGAGAGGGCGGAAGGAAGCCGGGGACAGCCGTCTGCCTGGAGGCGGCCCCCAGCGCTGTGCCCGCTCTGCCCCCTCGGCTCCTGTGGCCGGGATCCCGCCCTCCCCCCACTCCCGGCCCCCAGGGCCCCGGACTCACCCGGCGCTGGGCGTGGACTATACCAGCCCGTCGTAGAGGGACAGCGCCTGCACGATGGAGGGGTCGGCCTTGGAGCCCTCCTGGAACTCCTGCAGCGTCAGCTTGCCGTCGGCGTTCTGCAGGCAGAGGCAGCGCTTAGCGGGAGGGACAGCCGCCTCCGAGGACAGGTGCCGCTCCGGCCTGGCCCCCGGCCCCTGGCCCCGGGCTGGTCCCAACATAACTCCCCCCAGAGGCCAGGAGGAGGCAGTGCAGCCGCCAGGTGAGAGGAGTCGGGAGTCAGACGAATGCCCCCTGGCCAGCCACCCTGAGCCCGCTCTCCGGGTCCGTTTCCTCCTCTGGGGCCTCCGCAGGGCCCCAAGCCTGAACTGGAGGTGCCCTGAGCCCCGTGGTTACCGAATGGCTGCTGTCAGTTCCCTGCACTCAGAGTGGGCGCCTAAGGCATTTCTCCGGGTCACTCCTGGAGGGCACAGCGGTCCTGGAGCTCACGCACAGGGCCTAGGGGGTGTCTGGGGAGGGGTGGTCTGGGCCAGTATCCCTTCCCGGGAGACCTGTGAGCAGAGACCTCGGGGGGCGAGCATGGCCGGGGTTCCCAGCCCAGCAGGTCGTCCTCCCAGCTCGCCCACCGTGTACCCACGCGTGCTAAGTGCCCGGGCTGATCTCGGGGATCCCCACGCCCGCCCCAGGAAGAGGCGCTGCTCTCACCCCCATTGCACTGTGAGGAAACCGAGGCTCAGGCACCTCCCCAGAGCCCCTGGCTGGTAACGGGAGAAGCCAGAATGAACACCTGCCGGGCTCCAGGGCGGCTTGGTTTCCCCGAATAAGGGAAGTCTGACCTCGAGATTTAAAGACTTTAGCACTGATTTCCATTGGCTCTCCCTGCTCCCCACTCTGCACACGTTTTGATTATTAGCAAGAGACAGCAGAGTCTGAGCCTGCATGTCCTGACCCCGCTCTGCTGTGGGCCAACCTCTCCCCTTTTTAAAAAAATGTTTTTACTTATTTTAGAGCAGAAGGGAGAGGGACAGCGAGAGAGAAACATTGATGACAGAGAAACATCAGTTGGCTGCCTCCCGCACACCCCCTACTGAGGATTGAGCCTGTAACCCGGGCTTGTGCCCTGACCAGGAATCGAACCAGGGATCTCTTGGTTCATGGGTGGATGCTCAACCATTGGGCCACACGGGCCAGGCTCATCGCCCTTTCTTTCTTCCTTTCTTTCTTTCTTTCTTTCTTTCTTTCTTTCTTTTTTTTAAAATATATTTTATTGATTTTGTACAGAGAGGAAGGGAGAGAGATAGAGAGCTAGAAACATCGATGAGAGAGAGTCATCGATCAGCTGCCTCTTGCACATCCCCTACTGGAGATATGCCCGCAACCAAGGCACATGCCCTCGACCGGAATCGAACCCGGGTCCCTTCAGTCCCCAAGCCGACGCTCCATCCATTGAGCCACACGGGCCAGGCTCATCGCCCTTTCTAAACGAAGGAAGCACAGGCCTCAGGCTCAGAGCTCCAGGCCAGCGCGGTCTCCAGCCGGCGGCGTACACAATGAGCCCGACGTCCCTGTAACTGAGACTCTTTCTCTGGAGGCGAGCAGCACTGGGCTTCCCGACCACGCTGACCTCCGATCCCACTTAAAGCCGTTATCGGGTCCACAGGAAGTCTGACGGACAGGGCTCCTCTCCAGCGGGGCCCGGGGACAGAATCCAGCAGGCCATGAGCTCAGAGGGGGAAGATGAGGCTGTTCTGTCCACCATCCTCTCCCTGAAATGCAGCTTTTTCTCCCAGGATGCACTGGAGGACAGTCCCCATCAGAAGCAGGGATACCAGTGACCTAGCCAACTGTGGGGATCACAAGAAGGTCAACACGTCTCGTCATGGCTGCTCCAGGCAGTGCATACGTGTATCATTGCTTCAAAAATATGGGGGTGGTGCCCTAACCGGTGTGGCTCAGTGGATAGAGCATCGGCCTGCGGACTCAAGGGTCCCAGGTTCGATTCTGGTCAAGGGCATGTACCTGGTTGCAGGCATATCCCCGGTGGGGGGTGTGCAGGAGGCAGCTGATCGATGATTCTCTCTCATCGATGTTTCTAACTCTCTATCATTCTCCCCTCCTCTCTGTAAAAAATCAACAAAATATTTTTTTAAAAGTATGGGGTGGCTAGGCCCAATGGGATAATTCATCATTAATGTGTTCATAAAGAGGCTCCTAGAATACTGCATCCCGGTGACAGCTGCATTCCAGAATAATCCACCTCCTTTGCGATCCTGTGCACTTATTGGAGGGCCACAGGCTTCTCCAGAATGCCGGAGCTCTGTGGCACCCACGGAAACGGCTGAGAATCACGGTTTGTGAAAGAAAAACTGTCCGGCAAACGTACTTAAAACAGCTGCCTGATGGGGATGGCCGCCCACCAGACCCCCGGCCCCCTCACCGGGCTGGGCCGCCTGCCTGAGCCAGCACCGGGGACCCAGGCCCGGCCCCAGCTCTGCACCTCCTCCGCGGCCAGCCCGGCTCCTCACCTTGTCCATCATGGCGAAGATCCGGTCCACCCTCTTCTCAGGGGTGTTCTCCTCCTCGGGGAGCTCCACGGTGTTCCCCTGCCGGGACAGACAGGCTGGGCCGGGGCCGCGCTGCCCCGCAGACCGGGGCTGCTCCAGGCGAGGGCGCCTCTCCCTGCCACGCCCCACGCCCGCGCCCGCGCCCGCGCCCGCCCTGCGGTTCTGCTGGGAATCCAGCCTCCACCAGGGCGACCCCGGGCCGTGGCCCTGACCTGGCCAGCTCTCCCCACCCCCGCTGGAGAGCGGCCCCACCGGGTGGGCCCTGTGGGCCGAGTGGAGCCGCTCAATGGGCTGCCCCCCCCCGTCGCCCACCCGCGGCCCCAGCGCTCACCACCATCTGGTAGATGGCGTCCACAATGTCCAGCATCTCGGTCCTGGTGATGTAGCCGTCGTTATCCAGGTCGTAGAGCTTGAAGGCCCCTGCAACCAACCAGCCGGCGGGTCACCCCGGCCCAGCGCAGGGGCGGCTCTGCGCCCGCCTCCCGCCCTCTGCCCTTCAGTGGCGACAAGGACCCACAGCCATGCCTCACCCAGCCTCACCCGGCCTCACCCGGCCTCACCAGGCCTCACCAGGCCTCACCCGGCCTCACCAGGCCTCACCAGGCCTCACCCGGCCTCACCAGGCCTCACCCGGCCTCACCAGGCCTCACCCGGCCTCAGCCAGCCTCAGCCAGCCTCACCCAGGCCTCACCCAGCCTCACCCAGCCTCACCCAGCCTCACCCAGGCCTCACCCAGCCTCACTCAGGCCTCACCCAGCCTCACCAGGCCTCACCCAGCCTCACCCGGCCTCACCCAGCCTCAGCCAGCCTCAGCCAGCCTCAGCCAGGCCTCACCCAGCCTCACCCAGGCCTCACCCAGCCTCAGCCAGCCTCACCCAGGTCTCACCCAGCCTCACCCAGCCTCACCCAGCCTCACCCAGGCCTCACTCAGCCTCACCCAGACTCACCCAGCCTCACCAGGCCTCACCCAGCCTCACCCGGCCTCACCCAGCCTCAGCCAGCCTCAGCCAGCCTCAGCCAGGCCTCACCCAGCCTCACCCAGGCCTCACCCAGCCTCAGCCAGCCTCACCCAGGCCTCACCCAGCCTCACTCAGGCCTCACCCAGCCAACACTTAATCGGGACCAGCAAGCAGACACACACCCCCCACTTCAACTGGGACTAGGAAGGAAGAAACTGGGAGTAAAAGGAGGGGTCCTCGGCCTGAGGGAGGCCTCAGGGGCGGGAGCTGGGAGAAGGACTGGCCCAGGAGGCGTCCTGGTGACCCCCCTCTCTGCCCTGTGCCCCTCAGCCTCTCCCATTCCAGCCACGCAGAATCCCTGCTGCTCTGCGGCCAGCTCAGAGAATAAAACCATTCACCCAGCCCAGGGGACCAGGAGCTTTCACATAAATAAAATCCTTCTGTATCCTTCCTGCTGCCGTTAATCCTCACTTTTACTTGTTCCCATTGACTCTTAGAGAAAGAAGGAGGGAGGGAGCCATTGAGGGGGAAGATGCTCCCCTCAGCTTAAAACCTGCAGCCCAGGTGTATGCCCTTGACCGGGAACGGAACCCACAACCCTTTGGTGAGCAGGCCGGGGCTCTAACCACTGAACTACCGGCCAGGGCAATCCTCTTTTATCCTCAGAAAAACGAGAGAAAGAAGCTGCAGGGCCTTCTCGCTGCTGAGACAACGCGATGCCCACGTCTCAGTGAGCAGGGAGCTCTGGCCCCGCTTCTTCCATCTTCTCAACAGCTTCCCTTCCTTCCCCCGGGCCAGCCAGCGTGGGCACTCTGCCCCCTCCCGCCCCCTCCCCTCCCTGCTTCCTACCAGCCGGCTCCCTCCCCGCCCCGCTCAGCACTGACTCACCACGGGGTCAGCTCCCCTCCGGCCAGCGCTCCCCTCCCGCTTCCTGTCTCGGTTTCATGGGATTTTAAAAAGTCACGTCTCCGTGCTAGACTGAGCCGTGAGAGCAGGTGCCCCTGACACTCCCGCCCCCACCCCCCCCCCCGCATCTGCCGGGTTCCTGGCCTCCTGCCCAGCACGGACAGTGGCCTGTCTGGTCAGTGTCCGCTGGGTGAGCGAGTGCGGGAGTGAATGGATGAGGTGTCATCAGAAGGGCAGCTCCTGCACGGTGGGCCCGGCACATGACGCGGGTCTTTAACTCCAGGCGGCGGGGGCCGAGTCCACGTCTCACCTGCCTGGACGCCCCATCGCTCCCACCCCATCTGTCCGCCGGCCTAAGTGAGCCACGTTCCTCCCGCACGGCCACCCCCAGGCCCCTCCTCGGGCCCAGAACGGCTGGACGTCTGGGCCACTCTCGCAGCCGGGACAGGGGCCTGGGCCCGTTCTCTGGCCCGGGGCACGGACTTACATCGCAGCTTCTCGTCCAGGGTCCCCCTCGAGGTCACCGACAGCGCCTGGATGAACTCCGAGAACTCGATCCGCCCATCCTGGCAGGAGAGAGGGGCAGGTGGCCTCGGTCAGGCGGGCCACCTGGTCAGGCCAGACCGTGGGCAGGTGGCGGGAGCGGCAGCAGGCGCCGAGAGCGCGGCAGACAGACGCCACACGGAGAGGGCGGCGGGGAAGGAGAGAGGGACAGAACCGGGAGCGGGGAGGGGAAGGGGTCGGATTGGAAATGGGACAGGGCGGCGGGCGGGCGGGGCCGGAGGACGGGGAGAGGCCACAGGGAAGACCACGCACAGGCACCATCTCTGGGCGGAGCCGCCTGGAGGTCCCCTCCCCCGGACCTGGAACCACAGGCTGGGGGCTCCTGAAGAGGATAGGGCTCGAGGCCGTGCAGTCCTGCCTATTGGCTTTGCAAATGTGGAAACTGAGGCCCGGAGCTCCCTCAGGGCCAAGCAATGTGACCGTCAGCCTGGAGTCAACTGGGGCGGAAGCCAGGCCTCACGGAACAGAGTGCCAGGGCAGGAGCGTGGGAACAAGTCACGGTGAACCCACCGAGAGCACCGGGGAGCCAGAATCCGGAGGACAGCGGGCGTCCCAACCAGGGACCCGCCAGCTGCCGGCGGCCACTGCTAGGAGGGGCCAGGAGACAACTCAGATAAGCCTGGAAACTGGTGCTCCGTGAAAGGCCCACACTGTCTGATTCTCAGACCTCAGTTTCCTCATTTGCAAACGGGGGTATTCACATGACACACGCATGGGCTGTAAGCCTTCACATGAAGGGCTGCACATGTCCAGTGGACGGCTGTGCCGATGATAACGCCCGTGACTGCCCCTGGAGGCATTTGCATTTGGTGCTAGTAAGAAAAAGATCGAGATATACATGTGCATGCATGTACACATACGTGTGTGCGCACACGGTATAGATGTGTACACACGTTATCTCTGTGTGGTGCCTGTGTGTGCTTGTGTGTGCATGCACTCATGTGCATGCACTCATGAGTGCATGCACTCGTGTGTGTCTGTGTCTGTGTGCTTTTGAGTGTGCACACGTGTTGTTCCTTCTCTCGGAGGACACACGTGTTGTTCCTTCTCCCGGAGGACACACGGGGGGAGAGCGGGTGTGGAGCAGCCGCGGGAACCCCAGAGCCGAGCCGCAGCCGTGGGGGGGGACCCGGCAGGCGAGGCCCCGCCAGCCCGGCTCACCTTGTTCTCGTCGAAGACGTTGAACACGAAGGTGGCGAACTTGGTGGGGTCCCCGAAGGGAAAGAACTGCTTGTAGATCTTCTGGAAGCCGGCCGAGTCCAGCTGCCCGCTGGGGCAGTCCTTGATGAAGCCCTTATACCTGCGGCAGATAGGCTGTGAGCGGGGCCAGGGGCCCAGCACTGCCCTGCGGGAGTGCCCGCCTCTGGCTGAGGCCCCTCCAAAGACAGGCCGCCCGCCTCCGGGCTGAGGCCCCTCCCAAGACAGGACGCCCGCCTCCCGGCTGAGGGCCCCTCCAAAGAGGGGTGCACGGGTCCCGGCACAGGCTGCCGTCCAGGCACGGCTCCCCACGCTGTCTCTCCCGAGCTGTGTGACCTGAGGCTGGTGACTGCACCTCTCTGAGCCTCGTTTGTACAGAGGCTAAGAGTCGCGTGAGAAGTCACTGGACAGTGTGCACAGAGCAGCTGGCCATCAGCCCTGCTCCCCATGGGGGGCTGGACAAACCCACCAACGACCTCCCACCGCCACACTCCTGCCCGGAGCAGTTCTGCTCCCTCCCCCAACCCCCCCTTCTCCCCGGAGCCCCTCCCCCCGGTGCCGCGTTGGCGGGCAGAGCCACCATATGGGGCCGGCAGCTGGCTCCTCCCACACGCCTGCAGCCCAGTGCACAGGCACCCGCTCCCGGTCTGTTCCCAAGGCCCGTGTGACGGACTCGGAGCCGCAGGGCGGTTACTGGGAAGGAACCTGGTTTGTTCCTAGTGGCCTTGTCCGCCGTGGACCCCGGTGCCCAGCACAGAGCCCCCAAACGCCCGGCGGATGGCAGCCCAGACCCCGGCTCTGCCATACGCTGGCTGTGCGACCTTGGGCAGGCGCCCTCGCCTCTCTGAGCCTCAGCCTCCTCATCACACCCGTTATCACACCCGTTCTGTCGGGACCCAGATGGTGCATGAGCTCAGTTGGCATGAAGAAGAAGATGGGGCTCCAGGCTGTGCAGTCCTGCCCGTCGGTTTTGCAAATGGGGAAACTGAGGCCCGGAGCTCCCCCAGGGCCAGGCAGGGTGGCTGTCAGCCTGGAGTCGCCGGGGGCGGAAGCCAGGCCTCCGGGAACAGAGCGCCCAGGAGCGGAGCAGGCAGGGTCTCAGGACTGTGCCCCTGGTGCCGGTCCTCCTCCGAGCAGGGTCCCGGCACCGAAGGAAGCAGAGGGCCGGTCGCCATCACCAGCCGTGGCTCGGCTCTCACCTCCTGGGCAACTCTGTGCGGGGCCTCTGCGACCTCCGTGTCCGGGAACCGCCCCAGCGGCCCTGGAGCCAGGACCACGGCGAGGCCATTGTGTGGACGAGAAAACGGAGGCTCACGGCGGGTAGACTGAGTCCCCGCGTCCCAGGCTGGAGCCCAGGTGGGTGGGGGGAGGAGCCCAGGTGGGTGGGGGTGAGGGGCCCAGGTGGGTGGGGGTGAGGGGCCCAGGTGGGTGGGGGGAGGAGCCCAGATGAGTGGGGGTGAGGAGCCCAGATGAGTGGGGGTGAGGGGCCCAGGTGAGTGGGGGGAGGAGCCCAGGTGGGTGGGGGGAGGAGCCCAGAGGCACAGAGACTGGATCGTGGAGGACCTTCCCACTGTGTGGGGGCTGCTCTCGCCTCTCTCAGGAGCCAGGGGAGGCCTCGGGTGCGGTGCTGGAAGTCCCTGGCGGGCCGTGACCGGGGTCCAGGGATAGAGGGCGCTGTGGAGGCGCCGGGGCTCCCACCCGTCAGAGAGCACCCAGGACTGAGGAAGGGGGTGGGCGCTGGTCACACAGGACCCGGGCATGGGGGGCCCTGAGGCGGGGAGGCTCGGGGATGAGCTGTGCCTTAGGGGGAGTGGGGAGGGGGCAGGGAGGAGAGCGGAGGAGTTGGGTGGGACACGCCCAGGTGCGCACAGGGCCAGGACACAGAGCTGGGAGAGCTTTTTGGGGACAAGACCTGACCCATGGCCCCAGGCCCCCAGGCCCCCAGGCCCCCAGGCCTCCAGGCCTCCGGGCCTCCGGGCCAGGATGGTCCCTGGCAGGAGGAGGGCAGGCCTGGCACCAGGACTCAGTGATCAGAGAGGGGGCTCACTCCTCTGTCACCCCCCCCTCCGGCTCTGGGTGCCGGATCGGGGCCACACTCCCCTGGGCTCCCAGAGCTCATTTCTGCAGCGCGTACGCCGTGAATGTCTGAGTATTTCTAAAGGCGTTTAAAGCAATGAAGAGAAAACAAAAAGCTCCCAGCAGAGCCTCCTGGATGCTCCCTGCGGGGGGGGGGGGGGGAGCCTCACAGGCCCCCCTGCCTCTCGCCTCCGGGAGGGGAAGCTGTTTGCTCAGGGCCTCAGCCCCAGCCGAAGCGGCTGTCAGCACTGTGGGCAGCTGTGGTGGGGCCAGCAGGGGCGGCCCTAGAGCATTAATGACGGCTGGAGGCTGGGGGGCTGGGGGCTGGGAGGCTGGGGTCTGAGGGGCTGGGAGGCTGGGGGCTGGGGGGCTGGGAGGCTGGGGGCCTGGGGAACTGGGGGGCTGGGGGCTGGGAGGCTGGGGGCCTGGGGGGCTGGGGGCTGGGAGGCTGGGGGCTAGGGGGCTGGGAGGCTGGGGGCTGGGGGGCTGGGAGGCTGGAGGCTGGAGGCTGGGGGCTAGGGGCTGGGGAGCTGGGGGCTGGGGGGCTGGGAGGCTGGGGGCCTGGGGAACTGGGGGACTGGGGGCCTGGGGAACTGGGGGCTGGGGGGCTGGGAGGCTGGGAGGCTGGGGGCTGGGGGGCTGGGGGGCTGGGGGGCTGGGGGCCTGGGGGCTGGGAGGCTGGGGGCTAGGGGGCTGGGAGGCTGGGGGCTGGGAGGCTGGGAGGCTGGGGGCCTGGGGAACTGGGGGGCTGGAGGCTGGGGGGCTGGGGGCTAGGGGCTGGGGAGCTGGGGTCTGGGGGGCTGGGAGGCTGGGGGGCTGGGGGGCTGGGGGCTGGGAGGCTGGGGGCTGGGAGGCTGGGGGCCTGGGGGGCTGGGGGCTGGGAGGCTGGGGGCTGGGAGGCTGGGGGGCTGGGAGGCTGGGGGCCTGGGGGGCTGGGGGCTGGGAGGCTGGGGGCCTGGGGGGCTGGGGCCTGGGAGGCTGGGGGCTAGGGGGCTGGGAGGCTGGGGTCTGGGAGGCTGGTTCCAGGACATCCCCGCAGAGAAGCCCCGGGTGGGGAGAGAACCCAGAAGCGACAGCTGCCGTCTCCCGCGTCTTGGAAAGGGAGAGGGAAGAGGAAATCTGCTTTTCACAAACACACGGAGGCCCCTTGCACAGCTCCCCCGCCGAACACCGGGCTCCCCCCGGCCTCCCACGGCCGTCTGTTCCCAGGGACGCCAGGCACTGCGTGTCCCTCCGTCCCCCGGCCCCCGAGCCCAGCGCGGCATGGCACAGAGCCGGTGCTCAGCAAAGATTTGCCGAACAAACCACCCAACCAGTGGCTGAGTAAATGAGTGAGCGAACAAACGAAGGACGGGGAATGCCAATGCAGGAAGCCTGGCCAGGACCCCCGGGTCCCATTCCGGCTCAGCTCCTCTGGGGCCCCGAGGACGCCCAGCGCTGCGGCCGCCTCCGTTCCCGAAGGCCCGCTGCCGGGACTTCAGCACCCTGCCCCCGCAGAACGCTGCTCGCTGGGACCCCCTCCGTGCCCATCGCCTCTGTGCTGGGGTTCGGCCTGGCAGCTGTGCTCTCCGCAGCGGGGACGGCGGGAACCGAGCAGATGGACGGGATCGTGAGAGCCGGACCCCAGCTGGTCAGCCCCGCGCAGCTGGGCCGGCAGCACCCGCCCTGGGACCCCGTGTTCTCTCCTCCAACAGCTCCCGCCCCCTGCGTGCTCCCAGCGCCACCTGCAGCCCGGGCTTCAGAGGGCCCCGAGGAGGGCTCCCAACACATCCCTCCTTCCTCCTCTCCCACCCCACCCCCTGCCTGGGGCTTCCTGGGGTTTCCCAGAGCAGGAGCCGCAGGTCTGAGCCCTCAGAGCCTGGAGGAGGCGCGCGCTGGACCCAGACTCCACACACACACACACACACACACACACAGAGCAGTGTGACCTGGGCACGTGCCTCCGCCCCTCTGAGCCTCAGTTTCTTCGTCTGTAAAATGGGATCATCTGGCCCGGGGGCTGGGTTAGGCCTGCGAAAGCCTTTGGACTGGCCCTGCCAGGGCACTAGGGTGAGTTTGTGGAAGGTCTGACCAAATACAGAGGCTGGTTTTTAAGCGGATCCTTCTGCACGGCCCGCCAACGCTGCTTAAACATGCAATGGCCCTGCTGACTGACTTTCCCCGGCGTGGACTTAAGTACCAGCACCGTGCCTGGCCCCCAGGGGGCGCCCGAGGCCGAGCACTGTGAGGATGGCCCCCGAGGCGGACAGCTGGCCCTGCTGGGGCGGCTGCAGGTTCCTCCTGCGCCAGCCACTATTTCTGTGACAGCACAGCCAGGTCACCTGGCTGCTACAAAGGTGATAATAGCATTATGTAAACACTGCAAAACAGAAAAGATAGGAGAGAAAAACCACTAAACGCCGGCATCACACAGTGGATCCTGTCTCGTGCTGGAGACACCCGCCCGGTGGTCCATGCCGAGCTCTGAGCGGAGGTGACGGGAGTGGAGATGCCAAGACCTGGGGGCGGAGGGAATGGCAGGGGGACAGGAGAGGGGACGGCAGGGGGACAGGAGAGGGGACGGCAGGGGGACAGGAGAAGGGACGGCAGGGGGACAGGAGAGGGGTGGCAGGGGGACAGGAGAGGGGACAGCAGGGGGATAGGAGAGGGGACGGCAGGGGGACAGGAGAGGGGACAGGAGAGGGGCGGCAGGGGGACAGGAGAGGGGACAGGAGAGGGGCGGCAGGGGGACAGGAGAGGGAACAGGAGAGGGGCGGCAGGGGGACAGGAGAGGGGCGGCAGGAGGACGGCAGAGTGGCAGCAGAGGGGACAGGAGAGGGGACGGCAGGGGGACAGAGAGGGGATGGTAGAGGGGACAGGAGAGGGGACGGCAGGGGGACAAAAAGGGGAAAGCAGAGGGGACAGCAGAGGGGACGGCAGGGGGACAGGAGAGGGGTGGCAGGGGGACAGGAGAGGGGTGGCAGGGGGACAGAGAGGGGACGGCAGGGGGACAGGAGAGGGGACAGGACAGGGGACAGGAGAGGGGCGGCAGGGGGACGGCAGAGGGGACGGCGGGCTGCAGCCCAGAGGCAGGAGCGTGCTCAGTGTGGATGAGGAAGCCATCGAGGTGGGTGCCCGGTGAGCAGGGGAGAGGGTGCGGGCACAGAACCGGCGACCCCCGAGGGCTGAGGGAGGCAGGGGTTCAGCTCTCTCCCAGCCCGGAGGGCACCACCATGATGACCCGAGGGACAGTGCCTCGAGGTCTATGGAACTTTCTGGCAAATAGAGATCATTTCTTTCCCGCATAAGCTCTTCCGAGAGCGCTCCCGGCGGCAGGACGGGGTGTCAGAGGCCTAGGGCGCCGGCTTTACCGAGGGAGCCTGGCCACCTGCTCCCCACAGGCCCCTCGGCCCAAGCCAAGCCCCGTCCTGGCTGCTCCCCGAGCCTGGAACACTCTCACTGTTCGCTTGATGAATGGACGAAAGTCCCTCGGCCGGTCTGGGCCTCAGTTTCCCCACCCGCACCATGAGGAGGGGCCCCCAATCTCGGGACTGCTCCCCGGGAGGCACTGGTGAGGGGATCAGGATTGTCGTGGTTGTCGTAGCAACGCCAACAGACAGGAGAGGACCAGGCCCTGCTCCGAACATTTCCGACAGATCAGCGCCCTTAGTCCTCACACTGTCCCCTTCAAGGGTGACTATTACACCCTCACGTCTCAGCTGGGGAAACTGAGGCGCTGAGGAGCCCGATAACGCGTCCGAGGCCGCTCAGCCGGGATGTGGGGACTCAGGACCCGGACTGGGAGCCCAGCTGGCCGCGCTGCTCCCTGCCTCTCCGGGGGAGGCCCAGGCGTGAGCCGGGAGGACGCAGGGGGCTCCGACGGGCCCTGCACCTGCGGCTCAGAGGCCTCGTCCAGGAAACGGTGGGACGGTGGCTGTGAGGGTGGAGGGACCGAGGACGCGTCTCCAGCCTCGGCTCCCGCTCCCAGCAGCGGCGGGAAGACCGTCAGCCACGTCTGTCTCCTCCTGGGCCCCGGGCTAGGACCCGGACTGGAAGTGCCTCTCCCCAATGCATCCCCCTCCTGTCATACACACGGGGAAACTGAGGCTCCGGAGGTGGATCCTTCAAGGTCCCCAGGACAGGAAGGCACAGCCGGGCTCTGGCGCCACCACACTCTGCTGGAGGGTGTGCACACGCGGCGAGCTAACCTCCCTGCTCTCCTGACCATGCCCCCCACGCAGGCTCCCCGTGTCTGCTCCGCACCCCCCAATGACCGAACACCGGCCGCCCTCCTCTGCCCGGCCCGGGCAGGCATCACTAATCCACGGCAGAGCTCATTCATCGCTCACTGCCGTCCTTTCCGTTTGCTCCGTGACATACGGCCGCGGCCAGGCAATGCCGCCGGCAGCTGCTCCCAATGAGTGAGCGCTGCCACCCCAGAGGAAGCTGTGTGCCACCCCGGACCCCCCCTAATCCATCACGTGGCAGAGGAGACTTCTCACAGCGACAGGATGGTGCGGCCACGAGGCAGGGCCTGGGGCCCCGATCCTCCCGTCTCCTGTCCCACCCTCTCTTCCCGGCGGGCAGGGCCCGTCAGCCCCTCCTGGCCGGGTGGTCCTCGGAGATGTCACCCGAGGAGTCGCCAGCACCCAGGCCCACGCCACACAGCTGCTTTGGGTCTACGCCCACCTGCCGTGGGCAAAGGCGGCCTGGACGGACTTGTGGGGGAGCCGTGCCCCCATCCTGGGCAACGGGACGGCTGTGTCACCAGCACAAAGCCAATGCCCCACCCCACCCACATCCCCAAGGGACGAGCAGCTACTCACCACTGCTGGACCTCCTTCTCGGTGACTGCAAGAGAAAGCAGAAGAGCCCGTTAGTTCAGGGAGGTGTCCAGGGGCGGGCGGGCGGACGCTGGGAGCCCCCCTCTGCCCCCGCCCTGCCCCGCCCCCCGTCTGCCTGCCTGGGTCGGGGCTCCGCTGGCTCTGACCGAGGACATGTCCCGTGAACAGACCCAGCGGGAGCTCTGTGTCTGACCACACCCAGGGGACAGCACTGGCCCCGTGCCCCCGGGCGGCTGGCAGGACTGCCAGGCACAGCCTCGGCACAGGGATGGCTTCTCCCTGCCCTCCTGGGGGCCGTGCCCCGGTGAGCATTAACATACATCCTTCCCACCGGGATAACATGTAACATACATCCTTCCCACCGAGTGAACATGTAACATACATCCTTCCCACCGGGTGAGCATTAACATACATCCTTCCCACCGGATGAGCATTAACATACATCCTTCCCACCGGGTGAACACATAACATACATCCTTCCCACCGAGTGAACACGTAACATACATCCTTCCCACCGGGTGAACACATAACATACATCCTTCCCACTGGGTGAACACGTAACATCCATCCTTCCCACCGGGTGAACATTAACATACATCCTTCCCACCGGGTGAACATTAACATACATCCTTCCCACCGGGTGAACACGTAACGTACATCCTTCCCACCGGGTGAGCATTAACATCCATCCTTCCCACCGGGTGAACACATAACATGCATCCTTCCCACCGGGTGAACACATAACATGCATCCTTCCCACCGGGTGAACACGTAACATACATCCTTCCCACCGGGTGAACATATAACATACTTCCTTCCCACTGGGTGAACATGTAACATCTGCCCCCACGGCCGTCCCCCTGCCCCTTCGGTCTCCCCCTTCCCCTTCGGCCGTCCCCCTCCCCCCACGGCCGTCCCCCTCCCCCCGAGGCCGTCCCCCTCCCCCTGAGGCCGTCCCCCTCCCCCCGCGGCCGTCCCCCTCCCCCTGAGGCCGTCCCCCTCCCCCCGAGGCCGTCCCCCTCCCCCCGAGGCCGGCCCCCTCCCCCCGCGGCCGGCCCCCTCCCCCTGAGGCCGTCCCCCTCCCCCCGCAGCTGGCCCCCTCCCCCTGAGGCCGGCCCCCTCCCCCTTCGGCCGGCCCCCTCCCCCTGCGGCCGGCCCCCTCCCCCGCCGTCAGCCCCTTGTCCTCCCACAAGCGGATGGAGCGGGCCGGCACCAAAGCGGCTGGACCTCCCACCAGGCCCCAGGAGTCCTTCTGCACTGAACCGAGAACAAACAAAAGAAATGTTTCTTCTGGAAAGTACTGAATCGGCTCACGTTGGAGCCAAACCAACGTTCCCTGTAAAACCACTGTCCGCGGGGCTGGCCTCCTGTCTGTGACGTGGGAAGAGGAGCGACAGGGCCTGACACACGAGCCATCCCAAATGCCAATCAAAGCCGTGTGCCCGGCCAGCACAGCTCGGGGGCTGAGCATCGACCTAGGAACCAGGAGGTCAGGGTTCGATTCCCGGTTGGGGCATGTGCCTGGCTCCATCCCCAGTGTGGGGTGTGCAGGAGGCAGATGATCGGTGATTATCTCTCATTATTGATGTTTCTCTCTCTCTCTCCATCTCCCTTCTTCTCTGAAATCAATAAAAAATTATTTTAAAAAAACAAACTAGCCGGGACCGGTTTGGCTCAGTGGATAGAGCGCCGGCCTGCGGACTGAGAGGTCCCGGGTTCGATTCCGGTCAAGGGCATGTACCTTGGTTGCGGGCACATCCCCGATGGGGGGTGTGCAGGAGGCAGCTGGCCGGTGTTTCTCTCTCATCGACATTTCTAACTCTCTGTCCCTCTCAATTCCTCTCTGTGTAAAATCAATAAAAATATATTAAAAAAACAAACAAACAGGTGTGACCGCTCCGGAATCCTGGCGGAGGGCGGGGGAATGTGCCCCACACGGGCTGGTGGAATGCATGTGTGAGTGAATGAATAATGAGTGTGTGAATGATTGTATGAATGAACAAATGAACAAATGCGTGGATGAATGTTTGAGTGAATAGGTGAGCACAGGAGCGAACGAGTGAATGTATACATGAGCCAATGAATGCATGAACGGACGAATGAGTGCATGGACGAACGAAGGACAGGCAGGAGGTGTTAGGTGGAGGTCAGGTGAGGGAAGGGAAGAGGAGGCCCGAGGAGGTGCCCTGAGCTGTGTGCACCCGATCAGACCTGAGGTCGCTCTTCAAAACCGGCGTGAAGCAAGCTTTTAGCCCGTGCCAGGGACCAGGTGCCACGGCAAGCCCGGTCCGCCCAGGTGCCAGGGCCTTTGTGCCTCTGCTCGGCGGTCCTGGTAACAAACGCGGGAAGGAGGGAAGAGAGCACTCCTCTGTCCTGGCTCCAAACGGGGAAACTGAGGCACAGCGGGGCCAGCACAGGACGTGGTAAGGAGACCCTCAGCCTGGAAGCTTCCACGAGGCCCCGCCTCATCAGCACGCCCCTCCCACAGGCACAGTCAGAGCCAGAGACTCGGTTAAAAAAAAAATCGCGCCGAAACCAGTTTGGTTCCATGGATAGAGCGTCGGCTTGGGGACTGAAGGGTCCCGGGTTCGATTCTGGTCAAGGGCATGTACCTTAGTTGCGGGCATATCCCCAGTAGGGGGTGTGCAAGAGGCAGCTGGTCGATGACTCTCTCATCGATGTTTCTAACTCTCTATCTCTCTCCCTTCCTCTCTGTATAAAATCAATAAAATGTATTAAAAAAAAAAAAAAAAAAAACCTTAAAAAAAATCACAATTTTCTGAGAAAGTGTTGGTGGAGGGTACCAGCTGGGAAAGGGGCCAGGCATTGGTGGGGGGAAGGAGGAGGCAGAGAAGGAAGGCGCCCTGTCCTAACAGGGGTGGGCTGCCCCAGACCTGCTGCCCACCCTGGCAGTGAAGGGCAGCAGGGGCTGAGGGACTGAGGCCCACAGAGACAGCAGAGACTCGGCACACCACAGCCAGGAGCCTTGGGGCCGGCCTCCGGAGTCAAACCCAGCTCCACGGCTTATAAGCCGTGTGACCTCGCCAAAGTGCTGCCCCTCTCTGAGCCTCGGTTTCCTCATCTGTAGAATGGGCTTACTGTAAGGAGTAACACGCCTGGTGCTCTTCACCTGCACTGAAGGTATGATCCCATTTCCCTGATGAGGAGCCTGAGGTCCCGATGGTCCGCTAACTGGCCTGAAGTCACGCCAGGAAATGACAGCCCGGGCTAGGCCTCCAGAGCCTGGCATGGATGCCCAATTAAGTGCCCCTCCCAACCTGAGCCAGCCAGCGATCTGTGTGACCTTGCGTGACCTTGGCATCGTGTGGCATAAACAGCAGGAGCTGGGGGTCAGGGAGTGGGTGGTGTGACCGCCCGGGGTCAGAGGCTTCCCAGGAATCTCCCCGCTCAGAAGCCCACACCCCCCCCAGCCCCACAGTCACCCAGCAGCCCCCCTTCTCCGCCAGGAAGAGGGGACAGGCTGGCGGGGGCAGAGCGGGGAGGCGGCCCTGGTCTAACAGGGCGGGGCCTCCATAGCGGAGGGACACACAGCTGCTCACTGCGCTGTTATGTCCATGTTTCTCTGGATTTTTCCGAATACAAAGTGGGGGAGAAATGTTTGTTCTCATCAGCACACAACCCATGGGCCCCCCTCCCCAGCGCCAGAGGCCGGGTCCTGTCCAGGGTGCTGACCCTGAGCAGCTCCGACCGCCACAGGCACTGGGACAAAGGGGTCTAGGGGACACCGATGGGGTCCCTCTGCCTCCACCCTCCACCCAGACTCCCCAGCTCAGGGTCCCAGCTAAGCCGCACCACCACCCCCATCCCCCAGTCTCCATCCCTGTGTGAATTAACAGGCAGCATATGTCCTGGGCGGGTCCACGTTCAGGCTCAGGGTTCGGGGAAAAGGGCCAGGCAGGAAGGCAGACCCTCCCCAGTACGGCCAGCACCCACCCCTGTGCCCTGACCACACCCAACCCTGCAACCCCCCAGCTCCAGGCTCGGTACCTGCTGCCCCCTCTGCACCCACTCACGTGGCGCCCAATCCCCCTCGGTGTCCCTCTCCCAGGCAGCCCCCCGACCCTGTGGCCCCTCCGACGCCCCCCGCCTTGGGAACCACTGCCTCACCGAGCCTGTCTTCCCACAGGCCCACAGGAGGGGGTCAGACAGGGCACAGCCTGGGAGGGGGGAGGGGGAAGGGGAGGGGGTAAAACCGAGCGGTCCACGGGGCTGACTGTGGGCTGAGCCTCGGTCTGTTCCTCGCGAACGGGACAAACTGCCTCTGTACCCCACGGGGCGCCCACAGGCTGGCACGGTGCCTGGCGCCGAGTAGGTCCTCATCAGAACTTCTTGCCTCATCTTCCCAGCTGGACGCTAAGCCCCAGAGCCGAGCCCCTCCCGGCACGTCCTGGCATCACCCTCGGAGCCGGGCCGTGTGCCGCCCGTGGGAGGCAGAGAGCGAACCCTGGCTGCGTCCCCCGTCACCAAGCCACCAGCCGGACTCAGGCCACCGCCTCCAACCCGCACACACCTCCCGACACGATCGCCCTCGCAGCTGCACTCTCAGAGGCCAGCTGCCTCTCCCGCACACTCCGCCCGGCCCGGGCCCAGCTCCTTGGGAACCGGGATTTACCCGGGTGCGGCCGTCCTCTGGGCGCGGGCCCCGCCCCGCAGGCAGCACCGCTGGAGGCTCTGGGCGGGCACCCCGCTTTGGCTGTGTGTGGGCTGGGTGACTCTGGACAAGCCCTTGGCCTCTCTGAGCCTCTGGGTCCTCATCGGAAGGACGGGCAGAGACACCGACCAGGCCGGGCAGTGGGAGGGGCTCCGGAGAGGCGGGTAGACAGCTCCCAGCTTGCAGCGGGCACAGAGCCCAGAGGAGCGAGGGCTGGGCATCCATCACCCCCTCCCACCGGCTTCCAGAGAACCAGGGCCTGCTGCCCGGCCCGCACCCCCAGTGCCCACCCCGGAGCCCGGAGGCCCATCCCCGCTGCTCCTCCTCCTCCCCCT